GGCCACCCCCCCCCTGATACAAGCCAGGATGGCGCTGGCCCTCTTGGCCACCTGGGCACCCTGCTGGCTCATGTTCATCCTCCTCTTGACCAACCCCCCCAAGTCCTTTTCCACTGTTCAGCTTTCCAGCCCCTCTGCCCCACACCTGTAGCGTTGTGTGGGGTTGTTATGACCCCAGGGCAGGACCCAGCCCTTGGCCTTGTTGACCCTCACCCAATTGGGCTGGGCCCATGGATCCAGCCTAGGCAGGTCCCTCTGCAATTGTGTGCAGTGTTTAGGATACATCTACACCGGTGGTATAAGGTCTTCTGGTTTGTTCTTCATTCCTCTCCTGCCCAAGCTCTGGGCTGAGCTGTTACCAAACTGTTCATGGTGACTCCCAAACCCCTCCGCGTGGTGGGAGCTGTCATCAGTATATGATGTGTCGTTCCCTGTGACAATTATCCAACAGTGGGTGACACAGAAATCCACCAGCCCCTTTTTGCTCACGGCACTCAGTATTATTAGGTCCTCCAGTAACCCCCTGCTTTTATGTTGTTGGGTGTTTTAGTGGAGTCAACACCAATGCCATCCACTTCTCCACGTCATTTATCCCTACGTTGATACTCAGGGACACCACTAATGACCTCCCTTTGTAGGGAAGATAATTTATTCCTACTCTCGCTTCCCAGCTTTTAACATGCATTAGTCCCTGACAGAACCTGGCTGTTAATTCAGGGACAGCTCGGGCCCCCTGCGAGCCTGGCTGGTGCTCTTCGGCAAGCTCAGGTGTCCTCTGTCAGCCAGGACTCTCCATCCACCTCTTCCAAAGACGCCAACGAATTTGCAAAATGCAATACCCTGCCTTGCAAATGTCACTCGGGTTCTTGTCTGAATAGCAGGTACTCGGCCATCTGATGGGTTCCGCATAGAATTTCTAGGAATTTGCCTGCACTAGATTTGCCTTCACGCGCTTAAAACCCCATGTCACAATTTCTACCTTCCCTTCCTCTGATACCATATTCATTTGAAGCAGTAGTTAATGAACAGGAGTTAATAAACCAAGCAATTTCATATCTGAGCTCCTCTAGCACTCCAGGGTGAATACCATCTGGGCCATTTTCTGTATGTTCCTTTTATTGATTTTTTTTTTTTTTTTCCTCCCCGAAAAGCCTCTTCTACTGGCATTTCAGTTTGAAAGAGTTGGGCTGATTCACGTCCCGTCGCAGAAATTTCATTGTGGAGCCTCTGCGCTCCTCCACAGCGAGACCAACCCATTGAGGTTTGCTGCTGTGGTCGTTTTAATTCCAGAGTTGGGCATTTTCTGTGCTCTTCCTTTGAGGGAGAACCACGCCCCTTCTTGTCTCTCTTCCTGCCCTTTTATTCTAGTAAGGAGCAAACGAAGAAAAGGCTGAGTGAAACAAGAGCTGCAAGCTTCCTCAGATTTACAGGTCCTGTGGCCAAGAGCAAGGAGCAACCAGGCTGCCCAGCTCCATCCCACGGGCATAGTGACATGCACCGGTCCCAGTAAAGAGACTGGTGGACCTGCTCAGCAGATCCAGTCCTGCCCAGACAAGTAGCATCCTAGAAAATCCGTGCTGTGGCGAGGCACATTCATGAAGTGCCATCTCCCATGGTTCTTAGATAAGATAGAAAAAAAAAAGATCGAAACCCTTTTTTGCCAATTTACTGGGATTTCACAGTGAATGCTGGTGGTGCAGGCTGAGGCTATGCCAGTGTGGCTTCCTGCCCCCCCAGTAGTGCTGGACATGACAAAAGAGGTTGCCCGGTTTCAGCGGTGAAAAACAACCTTAACCATGAGCCCAGACCTTCCCAAAAAGGCAACGGAGCGCAGACGCCGGAGCTGCTGGACTCCTTCCTCCTCTCCCAAACACAAACAGAGAAGCGGACTTGCATCCTGAGGGAGGGAGGAAGGAAGCGTTGCTTGTGCTCGGGAGTAACGGAGCAGCCGGCGGAGGCCGCCTGGGCCTTTGTGCTGCTCGCAGTGGGGGGAACCGCGCGAGTAATCCGTCCCGGCAGCTCTCTGGTGGTTTACGCCGTAAGCACCGAGCTGCGGGCTGAACTCTCAGCACCGTCCATTAACACCTATCCCTCATCAGCGAAACACAGCGCTCACAGCAGCAGATGAGAGATAGAACTTTATTGATTATAAAAACACCCCCTGCTCCCAAAACACCATTAAAATAAGGCAGTAAAGAGTGATCGGTCAAATTAAACATACCTAATTACAAGGTTTCGTGGTCACGGGACCGTCAGCCCACTGAGGCTTGGCGCTCTCCGCAGCGAGCAGACTACGGTCGTGCCCTGCCCTAGAGCTGACGCGTTGAAATATTCAGGGAACGCAGTGGCTTCTTGCAGACTGAGGAGGAGAGAACTGTGGCTGTTTTAGAGCAAAACCAGGGGACTTCAGTACGCTTGGCAGATTTACTTTCAGTAAAGAAAATACTGAGATTGCAGAAAGAAGTCCTGGAGGTTAAGCAACACAAAAGGATCTTGGGGCTTCGGCTGAAACAAAATCTAAGCAATGTATCTGCCCTTCTCTCCTCACCAGGTTTGAATCCCAGCCCTCACCCTCAGGACACAGTTGTTTTTCAGAGAAAAAGGAGTAATTACTTAGTTGGCTGGGGAAGGAGACTCGCCTCCGTGATTGACTAGCCACTGAGCGAGGACCACGGGTCCCAGGCTGTGGCAGGGTATTGATTATTTTCTGGAAGCAGCATGATAAGTGCATTGGAATGGGGCCCCTCCTTTCAGAGGTCACTTTGTAACTCAGAGCCTCCTAATTGCTATAACGACACCAGCTCTCGCCGTCTGACTGGGACCGCTGTGTTTTGCTGCCAGACACCAGTTACTCGTTTCGCTGCCCTCTGACTCAAAGCCTTTCACAAACCTGGTGGTCGCTTCGAACCTCCCAGTGGTTCTAGGCTACGCTTTGGAAATGAAGCAATGTCGGGCTGGAAGGCAGCGCCTGCGCTCCGCCGCACCGAGTCTTGTTTACCAACTGCAAAGCTCTACCTTAAAAAACAAGAATCCCGTTTCCTTCCCTGCCGTCTGATGAGGAAGCTATTCCAGGCTCTCCCTGCTACGGGGTCCTTCCTTTAATTTCCAGCATATGTTTATTCGTGGACAGTTATAATCACTTCTTCTTTTGCCAACACTATTTTAAGCATAAAGATTTCCTTTGTTGGTGCTTATCTCATCAAAATAATGACAAGTCAGATTCCCCATGAGCATTTGCTTCCTTAGGCTAAGCAACCCCTGTTTCTTGGGGTCTCCACCACCCAAGCCTGGACTCGCTCCTGTTTTCATCTCAGTAGTTTTCTCTGCACTTCTGTCATTTCAGATCCTCCTTCCTAGGGATGGGTAATCAGATTTGTATGTAACACTCCTAATCAGGTCTCACCAGACCAAGTAACAATACCATGGATCTGTCTTCATGCCAATGGGGAATACCTTAAGCAACATGTTGTATGATTGCATTTGCCCATTTTGGGGCAGAATCACATTACTGGTACACTAATGAGCCTGCAGCCAACACCCACACCAGGCTCCCACTGCTCCTCATCTGTTTCCAATTGATGAACAACTACTTTATAGCTCAATTTTTTGTTGCTGGTCTTCAACCATCCAGCTGTGCATTTTATAATCCAGAATTTCATTCTACTTCTGTTATTGTTTTCACAATAACCCGTTTCTTTTCGGTCTCAATATGCCTGCTTAGCAGCAAATTCCCAGCCTAGAGTGACCCTTAAGGGAAGTCCACTAGTGACCTTCTTTCTGTCCAATACTTCCCCCTTGGAAGCTTTCCATTGTCGTCTCCCCTTTAGCCAGTCCTAAACCCTCACTTTCTCTGGCTTTGCTAACAATTTAGTGAAGTGCCACTTGAGGCTGCAACAAATGAGAAAGCAAAGTGATTCTAATGGTTATTACATTAAAAACAAAACAAAAATCCCAGTAGCTTTAAACCAGCTCTAATTTTTTCTAAGCTGCTGGTTTGAATGATGCCACTGCTAGCTTATCTTTGGACCTGCTTACAATCAGTCCTCTCACATTTGATTTCAGGAAATCTCATTTCTCGATATTCCCCCACCCTGCCTTCTCTCCTGAGGTCTCCTCCACTCCATGTCTCACCAACAGTTCTTGTTTTCGCTCCCTCCAGAGCTGGCCCTCAAGAGGCTGACGGCTGCTGACCCAGCATGGGTGGCTCGGCTCTCCCTGCCGCTCACCAGTAGTTACAAGGACAACGTCTTCTCCCCTGACTCTCCGCATTCACCCCAGGACGAGGAAGCTGCAAGGCAGGAGAAACCAAGGACCTTTGAGACCTTCGGCAAAGGTGCTGGGGCTGACTCAAATGCTGCTGGGACAAGACTGGCCAGCACTTTCCTTTCAGAAATGAGCACTCTCTTTGAAATGATTTTGTCCCAGAAGGTTCAAGTCCACAATGAAACGGGCTCGGGGCTTCTGCGGCAGCTGTCGGCACGTGGGAAGAGCCTTGGGCTGGAAGACAGTGCTCCTGTTCTGTAGGCAGCGTGGCAGCTGTGATAAGGAGAAAAGAGTCAGAGTGAGCTTCTTTCTGCATTTGGGGTGCACACGTGTGCTTTAACAGGGTCATTCTATCACCCACATCTAGACTGATCACAACAGGAATGTTTCTTCCTTTGCCTCACCCCATCAAACTTTTCCATGATCGATTTCACCTTATTTAGTTCCCTTCCACCTGCCTGTTCTTGCCTTCCTAGCTTTCTTCCTCTTCCACCTTACTATCACCAAGTCAGACAGCAGCAGGAGGGCCCTCTCCTCCCAGGGCAGGCCGATTGAGGGGAGGGGTTGTTAGATGAACCACAAGCACAACACAGTCAGCCACATCCCTGTGATTATAGACTGTGCACCACGGACGATAAAATATTGCAGTCATGGACTTTGCAACATGCTGCAGAGTTGGGCTCCGGGACCTTAGTTCTTATTTAAATAAAACCCTTTTTTTCTAACACTACCCTCTTTGGAACAAGGTGCACTGTAAGTGACTTAACGATGCATCTGCAGGAAGCCTGAAACGGCAACTCAGAAAGGGAGATCTGCCTGTTGTCTCCCACTGATCCTTCCAGCTTTTGTGGTTCTACCACTGTGAACTTGGCATTTTGTAAAATGCCCCCAAATCAGCACTTCTGCTCTGGCATCTCTGCTGTGGCTGCGCTAGGTGCCCACAATTTCCTTCCCTGTGCTCTCTTCTGAGGCCATTGGATTTTGGAGTGTAGTCCTTGCCTAGAAGCAGACAACAGATGGCTGGAGTCTGCCAAAGGTAACCTGGGAAAAGGGAAGCGTGAAAACACTGTTTTCAAATATTCAGTCACAAGCTTCAACCGTAGTACGGGTTTTCACTTTGATCTGAATGTATGTGAGCTGTAAGACAGTTCTAGGATAATAGCATGTGTAGGAAAACTAAGATACAGATATTAATAGCTGAGGAAGGAGCACACAGGCGTTATTACCCGTGGGGATTTGCACTCACAGAGAATGGGAAGACAAGAGTGGCGTAAGCACCTCGAGTGCATTCGGGTTCTGGAGTCTCCTTCTCTGGAGGTATTCAAAGCCCGCCTGGACGAAGTCCTGTGTAACATGCTCTAGGAGAACCTGCTTGAGCAGGGGGGTTGGACTAGATGATCTCCCGAGGTCCCTTCCAACCCTTGCCAGCCTGGGATTCTGTAGGCTTACGCAGCAGTGCATAGATGGCAGGTAAGCGCTTCTGGATCGTGCACATGTAGGACTCTCTTCTGTACTGTAGTTTGTGCCTTCCAATTATACAAAGCACCAGAACAAATTTGAGGCATGCTGGCAAGGCGGCTGTATAGGTGAGAGGAGAGTCATGCTATGGGAACGAGGGTAAGCCACTGCCTTCGCTGCTAGCGACGCACAACATCCTGGCTTGCTGAGTGACTACAAAAGCGAGGCTGAGAAGAGGCTGCCAGCCTCCCCTCCATCGGAGTGCAGGGCCAGCAGTGCTTTAGACACACTGCTTTCTTTCCTTCCCCATCTTTACGTTAAAAATACTGCACTGACTTCTCCACAGGTACCGCAGTTCACAACATGGGTTTCTCCAAAGCTAATTTGCTCACGGTGGGGCTGTAGCATCAGGTGTCTTTGGGTGGTATTTTTGGCTTTCATTTTACTGTGAAGTTGAAAAAGAACAGGCAGCAAGACCCAGCAGCCGTGATCCTGGAGCATCTCAAGGGTGTCTTACCTGTGTTCTTTTTCCATGCACCTAGAGGTGACAGTGCCCTGCTTTTAGTGTGGACACATGCAAGCCACAGCAGCAGACAACCACACAGATAATTTAAAGCAGAGTAAATGAGAAAGTTATCCCTTTCTGTTGCTCTTGGGACCAAATGGCAAAAGCAATAGAGTAAGATTTCCCCAGGTAGGCTCTTTAATATCCAAAATATCCACTGTTGTATTTGGAGCCTCCAAAGCGCTTTACAGATGACCCCATCTCTGGCAATAAACTACACTGATGGGTTTGCCCCAGCCTGCTCGTGCTGCCGCGCTCCTAAGAGAAATGTCTTGCTCTTTTGTTTCACAAACAAAACAGGCTCTTGCACCAAAACAATAACCGTGAGCCAAATTCTAACTGAGATGCAGCTGTGCAAACCACGAGGGAGGCATATCTGTGGCTGTGAGGAGATGCAGCCCTACGGGATTCCTCTGCACCTTGGGAATGCACACAGAGGACAAACACACGGCACAACCTCACATCTTCCTCTGGGAAGTTACTTTGATGTGCCTGTCAAAGGACAAACTTTACACAAAAATACATTATAAGAAGAAGATTAAAAAGGAGACAAATTCCTCTCTCGGTTCAACTTCCTGATTCTGCAAACTGCTTTCAGCCCCCCCCAACCCTTACCGCGGTCCTGTCCTGAGCAATGCGTAAGCATGCTGTGGATTATCACAGAATAGGAAATCCACCCGAGGAATTTCCTGCTAATTGTATCCTGCTTGATAAAGGAAATGGTTTAAGAAAGTTTGGTCTGAGCAGAAAGAGAGACCAGACTAGAAGAACAATCAGATGTGTTGAGGTCTGGCTGTGCCCCTCCCTTGCTGAATGGAGACCACATCGAGTTCAGGATGGGGCCATTGCCTTTGTTTTTCAGAGCCTGATCTACACAGAGCACCATGGCTACAGGAAGCCAGACAGTTTGTACAGATGCCCTTGAACCAGTTTAAACTGGTGTGGACAAATGTCTTTTTCCGGATTCAGCTGCCCCAGTGGAAGAAATTATCATACCAGCTGCTTGCCGCTGCCTGCCTGACAGTGGTTACTGCCCGCTGGGAGCATCCCTTATCCAATTCAGTGAAAATGAGCTGGCGTGCTTAGCAAACATGTACAATATAAATTTTGAAGAAAACCTTGCTCATCATGACTCAAAGGGGTGTATCCACGGGAGCAGCTTGCTGACAGAGCTGAAGGAATAATAACTGGGGACAGAAGGGCACTGACAGTGGTGCAGGATGGCTGAGGAGAGCTCTTACTTTCCCCAATACAGGTGGATCCATAAGCCATATCCCACAAAAACCTGCGCCCACTATTAGGGATTCCCTCTCTTGCTTGCACAGGTTTGAAAGCAGATTAAACTGCCACAATGGCAATGTAGAGACAAGCCCAGCTTGTGCTGGTAGCAGAACCACTGTGGGAACAGGTAGCCCTGAAGTGAGAGAACGTTGCCTCAGAGGGTGCAGGCCAGGCCCATCACAGCATTAGCTGCCAACATCACCATACAGTGGCTTGTAAACCTTACTGGGAGACCGTGTGCGAGATGTGCAGGGCTACTGGAATTACAGCCCCAAATCATATCACTGTGGCATGGTGGGAGTCTATACATAGATCCATATGGAAATGTAAGAGCATAAGAAAGGTCCTTGTATGGGAAGGCAGAGGGCCAGACAACATGGTGGCATAGGAGATATCGCAAGGTTTGTCCTCAAAACCCCTGTATTTAAAAATGGCTCCTGCGCTATTAACAGGAAAGCTTTCTCTTTCCACTCACTGCTAGCCTGCTTCCAGCCCCACGCAGGCTAAGGAGGGCTGCCTTCCCTTCTGCCTGCTTGTTTCACTTACCGACTGCTCTAGTAACAGCAGCGGTGGGGCTCCAAGCACTGCAGTTCCAGCGGTGTTGCTCTGTTTCTGAGGGCATGGCTCCATCCTGCACCACCAAGAGTCATCATGTGGAGTCTGTCTGCGCTCCAAGAGTGGGGCAGGGTGAGGGCAGATTGTCTTGGCTGGGTGGGGTGGAGGCCTGCAGGCACACGCTCAGCAGCCCAGAAACAGGGGCTAGAGGAAGAGGCTCTTATTCCGGAAGGGAATGGATGCTCTGTTCTCACATCTGAAAGTACATTAAAACAAGGTATTAATGACGCATCATACTATGGGAACGGCTTCTCCACTTCAGCTCGACTGGAAATAGCTGGTAAGAAGTGGAAAGAACTGAAAAGGAAAAGTGCTCCTTTCCCTTCAGTAAAAAGGACTCCTTCTTGCCATGGCCCTGTGCTACCCTTCCTCTGGCAATACGGGGCCCGCTTTTATGGGGTCACTACACCACGCAGTCCCACACACCCTCTACCCCTGCTGCCCGCCGTACCTTCCACCTCCTCTTCTAACAGTCGCAGTCTCTCCCGGGAGTTCCTGTTCCCCGCAGCAGCTGACTGCCGGTAGTGTCTCATCGCTTCTGCCAGGTTCTGCTGCACTCCAAGGCCCTTCTCATAGCAAACGCCCACGTGATACCTGCTTTGGGCATCCTAGCCACAGGAGAAAGCACAGCAATCAGCCCCACACGACAGAGACGTGACGACAGCACACGAAAGGAGAACAGAGAGTCTTTAACACCTTCTTTAAAGTTTACTGCTCTATCTTTGGTCACCTCCTTTAAAGTTTACTCCTCTGTCCCTCAGACCATATATTCAGTAATTTAGTCCCTTTTCTGAGCGCATGGTGAAGCGGAATTTCTTACCAGCCATCTCTGACTCTGCTCCTTCCTATCCCTTTCCAATTAAATTCACTGACGTCCCTTCAACATCCAGGTCTGTGTCATGGGAACAAAGGAACAGCTGACTCCGCAGAGCATCCCAATTGTCTCAGGGGTCAGAGCTAAGAGGACTTGGGCAGCCTTGACTGCACCCACATCCTGATCACGCCCGAACTCTGAGCACACCCTGCGGACTGCCCTACTACAGTTCACACAGACGTCTTGTAAAAACATAACAAATGCCAGAGAGGTACTTGCTGCCAGGGGTGGGAAGATTCCCCTTGGCAGCATCAGGCCATCAGGCGTTCAACACAACAGTGCACCACTACCTTGCTCAGCCCCACCTAATTATATTCCCAAAATCTCAAGCAGCAGAAAGGAAGTCAAGCAAATAAGCGGTAGAGAAAAAGCACCTAAACTACTCAGACATACGTAAGTGCTGAGAAGGAACTAGAAAGTAGAGGATGTCACTGCAGGTGGGACAGCGAAGCCAACTCCAAACCCGTGATATGTTTACGTGTTGGCTGTGCACTTTACCTTTGAGATCCAAGAGGCAGCAAAGGGCGTCACAGATAGTAAGAAAGCAAGATGACAGTCCTGAAGACTTTGGAAAGATGGCATGGGCTAGTGGCCACACAGACCTTTGCCAGCAAAAAAGCCAGCAACACAACTTGAAGAGTATGGCTGCCAGAAACATGATCTAAACAAGGCTTTGCAAAAAAAACAAAATGAAGGAAAAAAAAAAAGGAAGTAAGTAGCAAGTTTTAATAAAGCCATGAGAACAGAACATATTGCAAGTGTTGCTGTCTGGGCTGTAGCTGGTAGAGGAAAGCAAAGAACTCAATGAGTGGGTGCTTTGCAAAATGTTGCAAGTCTCAGTTTATGACAGCAATAAACTTCTTTAGAGATGAGATAAACACGTTGAAGGATTGGCACTTCAGATGTGACAACAGACAGGGTTAAATACGAAGTATTTCACTAGCCGTCTCTTATATGATGAACACCTCAAAGACAAGACCACAAGGAGAAGAGATCCCCAAATTAGCATGGCATAAGTGATTGTGATATACTTTGAAATCTGAAGGTCAGACTCTGTTCTCCAACAACACTCTTTAATATGTTTTTTATATTCTACAGTTGCACACATAAAATAAGGGAGGATTAAAAAGTGGTAACCAAAGTAAAATGCAGTTCTCTGAAGCACTGTTGTATTTGGAAGAACATTTGTCAAGAGTTCCCCCCTCGGCTCTCGCACAGAGCAACAATCTGAGAAACACTGAACCCATGACTTTTTCATGCCTGTTTTCCCTTTTTTGGAGTTGTAGCTAAATGGTTCTGTCCTTGCTTCACCCATATCCAGCAGCCTTTTAACCAACTAAACATAAATTCATACTCTAGGGTAATGGGAAAAGAACATACTCACAGAGCCCTTCCTTCTCCCAGCAGAACACATGGGGTTACATCCCAGGGAGCCTATGCACAAGCCTGCCACCAAGGATGAGGCTGTGGTACTTCCGCAGCCAGCATCCATGGGGAAGCTGAGATGGAGGAAGTCAACTGGGAACTGTCACGGCCATGACCAAAACATGAAACACACCGATGTACTAGGGAGTACCCCAGGGACCTGCAGTTACCCGCTAGATTTTCTGTTGTTAAGGGCTTACTAGGCATTCAGTAAATGACAATCATCTATTTAATGAGATAATTCATTGTTATATTGTGCAGCATATGCATCTGACATCAGGTTGGAAGAAGGGAGTCAATGATGCAGCTTATGAGAGATCTTTAACAGATTTGGAATGAAATACTATATGAACACGATGTCTGAGCTGCTGGGGCTAGTCAGGTCTAGCCTCACCAGTGATCTGACAGTATCTGCATTCTTAAAAGTGGGTGAAAACTGAAGTGGTAAAGTTTGCAAGTGATGTAGTGTCATTCAGAGCGATCAAATTTACTGTAAAGAATTAATTAGAGAAGATCTTGCAGGACTAAGAGCGGGCAACACAATCACAGAGGAAACTTAGTGTTGACAAATGCGAAGCAGTGCTTACAGAAAGAACTTTGTGAGTCACAGTGATAGTTCCCTGAAGCCATCAAGCCACTGCTCAGTGGCAGGCAAAAGGGCAAACAGTACTAGGAATTCTTGGAAGGGAATACAGAAGAAAGCAGAGGATCTCATTATGTCAGATCCCTGGCATGCCTCTGTCCCAAGTCCAGTTTTAGTCCAAGCATCTTAAAATGGTGAAAGGAAAATTAGAAAAAGAGAGAGAAGACTGACAAGCAAAATGGAACAGCTTAACTACATGGAGAGACAAACTAAACCAGCGTTCTACAGCCTGCAAAAGAAATGACTCAGAGAGGACATACTAAAGGGCGGCAGAATCAGAAGTATTAGCCAGAAGAAGAGGGAATAGCTATTCATTATTTTCCATTACACAAAAGCTGTGGGAACTGAAGTTAAAATGAACAAGTTCTTCAGAAAAAACCTAGCTATTACAATGCAGTGCAAGCTGAAAACGAGTGAACAATGTCACAGTGCTGTAAAGAAACAGAACTGTGGGATGCAGAAACCTGGCTGCAAGACATGGAATGTCATACTTCTACCCCTCTAAGTGCTGGTAAAGGGTTCAGGAGCAATACTATGCTGAGATTGTGGCACTGCCCTTCAGAAACAAATAAGCCTGTGTCACTTGGAGAAAGTTCAACAGCACGCAAGAAAATTGTTGGGGATCTAGACAACATGACGTGTGAAGAGAAACTACAACAATGGGGGAAGGCTGAATGGAGATTCAAGTATTTCAGTACATTAAAGGTCCTTGCAAAGAAACAGAAAGTCTTTTCATCCTCTCTATAGGAGACAAGAAATAATGGGCCAATTTTGAAGAACAGATTCGAGATAAGACACAATGGGAAATCTGTAAAACTATGCTAGATGAATATAAGCGCTGGTGCTGTAAGAACTACTCCAACCCAACAGGGCTGTTTCTACATTCTTGTTTTGTAAGGTCTGCACCCCCAGGGCCTGTCGCCTCTCCAAGATGCACCAAGGCTCCACTCTGTCCTTTCAAACTGTGCGGTAAAATCCTGACACTCGCTCCCGTTTCCAAGAAGCCCTGATATCTGCCACCTGCAATGATCCCAAATGGAGAACAATCCTGGCTTGCAAGGGGATTACTTACGCCGTTCTTTGCTGCCAGCAGCAGGTACTTCAGACCTCTCTTTTCCTTAGGTTGCAGCCCTCTCATGTAGAAGACTCCAAGATAAGCCTGTGCCTGCAACAAAACCACACGATACAACTCAGACAGGATTTCCCCCATTAATTACTCCAGTTCTTTTACTGATTTTTCAAGTTGTTCAAATGCCAGGGTTACTGCTGCAAGACGGGTGTGCAAAGTACCCTGCTTGCTGCAGAGCCTGTTGACAGAGGGGGCTATCCTAGAAAAAAATCGGTCTGACATGCTAAACACAAAAAATCACATTTGACCTACAGAACTCCACTATACGTGCAGTAACATCACCATACTAACACCCTAAGACCAAGAGTATCATTTCAAACTTCACTGTGGAAGTCAGAGCCAGAGAACGGCTCCTACTCGTGAGCTGCCCGTAAGACACAGCAGATGCACTTCCTGGAACAGCGTGCTACATGAGATACAGTCACTGCCAGAACGACTGGCATTCGCAACACAAGATGGCACATGCCTAAATGCATCTCCTAAAGAGTGGGAAAGGAGGGCAGGGTACACAGATCCATGTAGATGAATCATCTTGAAAAGTCACAGATACAATATGAGGATCTGTTCTTACTTCAAGCATCTCATGGAAGTTCCTCCACCAAAGGGACCTGTGCTCTCGGAACTGAGAGATGAAACACAGAGCTACATTTTTTAACTGTAGGTCAGTTTTCCTAAGTCAATGGTCTAATCGAGGTGTCGAATCTAAGAGCCACATTAAAAAGCCCAACAGCAAAACAGACAACCAACACCGCTGACACAGTGGGTACCTAGCTGCCTTCCATGTGCAGGCAGGGCTGTCTCCCATATGCCATCAGAAGTATAAATATGTTGGAAGAATTTTGCTTCCAGTCCCACAGATGCCGCTTTCTAGGATGTCTTGTGGTTCAAATCCTTTAGACAGGATTCTCTGCTGGGTTTCTCCTATGCTGTGGACACTAACCTCCGTAATCCCGGCCATTGCTGCTTGCTCCAGGAAAGTCACTGCCTTCTGATGCCTGTCCCATTCATTTTCAGGTCTGTGACATAAGAGGTATCGAGCGTAGCGGTACTGTGCCATGGGGTGACAGCTGCTGGCCGCACGGTAGTAATAAAAAGCTGCCTGGAAAAAGAGAAACACACTTGTGTGATTCAGGTAATACATGCCCTCAAACATGACAGGACTTCCCCTCTAGCCAGGACAAGCTTAACCTCTCTGTCTAGATCTATCATAAGCTGCACACGCTTACCCCAGCAGCTCTCCCACACCTCCCTGCTGAAGAGCATGAGATTGTTTAAGTGAGACAGTGGACTGCGACTATATGAGAGCCCTCTAACCACCCTGCCTTCTCTAGTCAGAACTCCCTGTGTTGAAGGGGGTGGCACTGGGCCAACAATACCAAAGCCTACTCTGTGCCAATGGGGATCTGCACAATTACTCGAAACAAGCCGCCTTTGCAGATCTTTCCAGCTAGAGAAGATGCTGACTACGGCCAGCATGCACTAGGTGGCAGGCTGTAGCTAAGGTACCCAAATTGGATGGCTCGAGATGTAAAGAAGCGCTCGGATGTGCAGTGGTGTTTTAAATACAGTAACATGACAGGTTTCTCCTTGGTACTCTCCTGGGTGCTAGTGGCACAGCCTGTGTACCTACGAGAAGACCTCAGAAGCTATGAGAAAGGAGATTTCAGGAGCACATCTCTGAGGGGATCTATGACACTGAAGTCAGCACTGCAAACCCGCAGTTTATATTACTTCTAGCATTTTCTAACAAGACTTCAGAGACTGTCACACCCATGCAAATGGAGAAAAGCTCCCGTGCACCCAACAAAGACCACTCTCCTGGTCTGTGCTGCCCATAGACAACCCTACAAGCTGTGGATACCTTTTCCAAGTCTTTTTCCGTGCCTCTGCCATGCTCGTAACACAGACCCACGTTGAACTGGGCTTTGCTGTAGCCTCGATCTGCTGCCAGTTTGAAGCAAGTATAGGCTATCCTGTAATGGCCCGCTCTCATACTTTCAATCCCTGAGAAGAACACAACGTAAAAACAGGGGAAAAGAAAATGGACAGAACACAGCTTCAAATGCAGCAACCTCCCCCACAGCTACTGGGCCTTCCTTGGCCCATCCCAAGTGCTCCAGTCCACTTCTGGCTGGCTCACCAATCCCCATTCCACAGGACCAAGGTTTCCATCGGAAAAAGGGCAACACTGCATTTTAGGGACTTTTCTAGTCTCATTGCAAAGAAGGATCACGGGCTAACACAACGTATGGTTTGCACAGAAGCGGCTCGCTTTTTTAGTGCTGCAACTAGTGGTGTATATAGGGCAGGGATTTTTTTTCTTAGATCATTGCATCTTTCTTCAGCTCGTCTTAAGAGTTGCAATTCTGCAGTTGCTTTTTCAGCTTGCCAGGCAGACTGAGATCTCGGACAATGAAAAAATACACAAGGATGTGACAGTTTGTGTTGCAAAGAAGACAGAGATGGCTTAATTTCCAACTACAGATGTCAGGACAACAGTGCAGGTTTCAAGCAAGCCTGGATTTAAATATGCTGATATAAATCAGGTGGCAGGATGGGACAAAGAGCAATAAATCTCTCAAAGCACAGTTGAAATTGCTGAAAGGAGGCTTCAGCTTGGGTATATGCCATCTCTGCCTTCACACAAGACCTGCAACAATTTGGAGGTCCTCCAAAAAGAGAAATGTGTGGTTTAAGGACAAACCAAATCCAAGTCCACATTACCGAGGATATTCAATGCAATGGAAATGTCAATCCGGAAAATCTGCTGCAATTGGAAAGCAGCTTCCTCTAAATGCCCTCGCTGAGCTGGGTCACCCTGAGGAGTTAAAGAGGAAAGATATTAAGACAGCAAAAACATACAAACCCTATAGGAGATTCTTTCTTGGAAACCGAGCAGCGAGACACATTTGTACTGTACTCTAGTTATCAAGAGGGTGATGTAATCTGGTGTCATGTGTCCACAAAAAAAAAAAAATCTCCCTGTCCTACACAGCCATCTAGACAGGGAAGCTGTATGGACATTGCTCGCCTCCCCTCTGGACAGGGAGCTTGGTGTAGCCTCTCGGTGACCATCAGACCGATAGGAATTTAGCAAATACCGTATACCACTCATAAATCCCCCCTTCAAAAGCAACATTAGCCCTTGTTCACCCTCCTGCATCATGTCAACAGCACAAACAGTCTCTGCCAAACACGCACTGACATATTTGTATACGCTTTACACAATTCAAGATCAGCCCACACTGTCAGCTTCCTGAACACTGTAGACTCCTAATAAAATCCTGCACAGCAGAGACAATGTCTTTTCTTTCTCAGGAATGAACAGTATTTTTCATTTTACCACAGCTCTGGGAGGCGGGAGGAGGATTAGCCTTGCCTGCAGCTTTAGCTTCCAGTCTTGCGTACAAATTTAGTGCCATCGAGTGGCAGCAGTGCACACTGCACACGAACTCAGATGCCTCCGCACTCAGGGAAGTCATGGAGCAAAAATGCCCCTTGCCACCCAACAGCTTTACTGCTCAGCCAGCAGTCAGGGCTGCTCACAGGAGGAGAAGCCCTGGACTGACTCCCCTCCTCTCCCGAGAGCCTCCCGAGACCCGCCCCATGACATATGAATGAGCTACAGACTCTCCCTACGGCCCTGCAGCAGTGATACCTCCTAGAATGGGGAGCTCGATGCTCACCCCCCTGGCAGACCAAGCAAACACCTTTCTGGTGGGGGAGCAGAAGTTGCTTCCATGTCGCAGGGAGGATCCCACTCTGTTAAATACTGAATTTATCTCCACTCTGCTCACACTGTCCTTGAGCAGTGGCTTAGCTGACTGATTTTTAAAATGGGGAATTGTCTGCACCCAAGGCTGTGAATTGCAAGGAATTAGCAGGTTTAATCACAACAAGAACAATAATATAATTTACAGCCTTGTGACTCTCAAGCTGATGCACCCTCTTCAAGCCCAAAGTGTCTTCCTCTCTATAACACACAAGAGCCAGCGCTGATTTGCAGCTTTAGGAGGAGTGACACCACCTTCGCCAGTCATGGGTTGTCTGGTAAAAACCAAAATAGCAACAGCATGTAATCACCTAGTGAAAGATTGCATAAAAATGCAAATACACAAGAACAGACTTGGGCTACTGGATAGGGTTGGGGTTTCTTTGTCTATTTTGGGGTTAGTTTCTTTGCCATTTTCTTTCAGTGCTTCTCTACCAGCATCCTTGTTACACAGACACCTTAAAGCAGATGCCAGTTTGTAGTTCCTGGAACTTTGCTCTGGCTAAAGCAGAGGGCAGCACATCACATCTCTCTTTCTCCTGGCCTCCAGCTGTGCAGGGCAGAAAACAGCCTTGCGTGTGAGTGGATTGCTCAGGCTGCGCTCGGGGTGGCATTGAGATGTCTTCCTGTCGGGAAGGGGCCTCAGGTGCAGATGGAGGGGGTGAAAAATGAAAGCGTACCTTTGCGCTGCGGAGAACTGGCTCCAAGCTGGAGCTCTCAGGGATTTGGAACTCCCCTACATTAAAAAAAAAAAAAAAAAGGCAAAAAAGAAAAGCAGGGTTAAGCAATGCTGCATCTTCACCTCTTCCTCCTCTTCCCATCCTCTCCACTCCACAGCTAGAGGACTGATCACCCACCCAGTCGGGGACATTAAGAACAGAAGGAATGCTGACCAATCTAACCTTTGTATCAAAAGCAACCAAGTGCCACATGAATACAGTCCTGTAATCTGCAGCTGGCTAATGCACCTCCTCCAGAAAGGCCCCCAGTCTTGATTTGAAGACACCAAAGGGTAGAGAACCTCCCACTTCTTCTGGAAGTTTGTTCCAGCAACTTGTAATTGCTGCTTTAAACCTCTGCGCTTTATTTCACATTAAAATACATCTGGTTTCTGCTCCCAGGCGCTGGTTCTTCCAGGCTTTTTCTCTCCTTACTAAAAAGCCCATTCTCCTTTTGAAAGTCCTGATACGACTAATCAACCCCTCTTGATTCTTGTCTGTGATTCTAAACAGACCGTGCTGTTCATGTCTTTCAAATGAAGTACTTTTCTGCCCGAGCTGATTAATTTTATGACTTTTTGCCACTATTCCTGAATTTTCAACATTGTTATTGAAGTGCAGACCCTCTCACCAGTGTCGCAGGAAGGGTAAAATTGCCTCCTTATTCGAATTCGTAACTGCCTAGTTTGCATGTATCAGAACCTATTCCCATTGCCCGGGGCATCACACTGAGATCCCACACTTAGGTGCTTGCCTCCCTAGCTCCTTTCCCAGGTAATTTCTTGCCTGGGTACAGTTCTGCTTCTGCAAGGGAATGATCAGATGTGCTATTCCAGCTGCATCGTATGCAGGCTTAGGTTATCACCCCAACGTGCCCCGCTCGCTCATCGCTGCCCTCTTAGATACGCTGGCACAAGCACGTGCTCAGCTGCTATCTGGCCAGTTTCAGTCAGAATTATCTAACGAAAACATCTACAGCAAAAGCTAAGCCACCTTGCTCTTAACAGAATTGTGCTGGAAGTGATTACACAGGCATTCATGCCAGCTGCTCTAGGAGGATGGTGAGCTCCAGCAAAGAGGACGAACAGGAGAGGGCTGATTGAGGCCAATTATTTTTAACGTGAATCACCATAAGCAGCTGGATCCCACCGGGCACCTAAGGTACTGGAACCTGGATCACATCAAGCCAGTGCTGTTTATGCAAGAAGGAGCTGTGCCCCCCCCCCCCCCTGCCTCCCCGTCTCCCTCTCAAGCTGTTTGGCTGCAGAGCAGGGAGCTAATACGAGTGAAAAAATCAGTCCTTTGGGGGGCCAGATTCCTTGATTCTTGACACGGTATGGCTAAACCACCAACTTTGGCAGCACAACGGGCGAAAACAACGC